TGTGCAGTCGGTCTTCGATGGCGAAGAGGCTCAGGGCATTTTCATGGCGGCACGGCACCCTAGCTGATTCCGCTCGTTGTGGCCAAGCTCTGCGGCTCCCAAGAACACGCACACGACTGAAAAGGAACTCTTACAAGTGGTTGAAAATCGCCATTATGGTTTTGAAAGGAATAAACCCTGGGGTCCACTGGGGGTTGGCAGCCTGCTTCGCCTTGAACTCCTTGGCCGTCTTGAAGAGGTGTCCCAAGATGCTGTGCTCTCCCGGGCGAAGGAACAGGATTAGAGAGTGGTCCTGCTTCAGTAGCTTTATTTCCTCGTCCTGTCGCACGACCTGCCTGGCCAAAGTAACGAGCAAGTCCGGCTGGGGCTGGAACGGATGATCCTGCCGAAATCCGCTTGTCGGAAGCCTGCGACGTTTGTTGGACTGCAGAAGGCCGCTGCTGGACGATTGCAGGCTCCCCCAAAACTCTTCCATCTCGTCGTTGCCGCTCCTGTAGGCAGAGAACGGCGCACTGCCATATGAACGTACGCTTCTTAGTGTGCTCCACCCAGTCCTTGCACCGAACATTGCAGAAGTGGCACGTGGGACAAGCCGTTGCCGTACGTTGTATGAGGGAGAGGATGGTGCTGCCCAGCTGTTGCAGAATGTCTGCATGGCTGTGCTGATAGTGCTGATAATGTCGCTTCATGGTTTTGTGTGATGCGACCCATTGTCCACGCAACGCACATGTCTGCTGGAGCCTGGGGGTGACGTCTTTCAGCTGTATAAAGGAGTTCAGACCCTTGGCGGCTGCAGCAAGCACTTTGTCCTCTTCGCAGATGAGGGCTGTGCGTGGAGGAACCGTTGCAAGTGAAGTAGCCCGATGGTCCTCTGTTTTGTCTGGTGAGGTTGTTTCGTTGTCCGCATGGTCGGGGGAAGGTTCCTGAGGGTCAATGGTCTGCATGAGTTTGGTACATCGATTGGCCGTGATGTGCTGAGACAATGTCTGCCATCTGCTAAACGTCTTGAGACAAAAACGACACGTGGGTAGTCCCCTGATGGCATGCTCCGCCCGGCTGAAGACGATAGGCTGATTATCAACATGTTGATGTGCGCGTCTGGCGTGAACTTTGAGCGCAGCCTGCGTGGGGAACATGTGCTCACAGTAGGGGCATGCCCAAATATGTGTCTCTGCGCACTCATCGTCAGTGTCCGGCGAGGCGTGGCGCTGCTGGATCCTGCTGTTGAGGTGATGGTGCCACTTCGAGCAGAACATCCAGTCTGGGGAGTGCACCTGCAGTTGCTCAGCTCGTTGAAGTTCTCGGTTCATATCCTCCGAGATGCGTGGGATTTTGTAGCGCGACATGATGGACTCGTGTGTGTCTCCGGTGAGAAACGCTTGGTTTGAGATCACAGCCCTGGTGTGTTTCATGATGGCCTTCTGGAGCTCGTCGGTTTGATCTGTAGACACAACTGCGCCAGACATCAAGCTTATAGGAGATGCTCATCCTGTTGGAGTGAAGCACTGAAGCCAGGGCCCATCTGCGGTTATGAGCCTTAGCAAGACGATGTCGTAGCGATTGCTGCTCAAACTGGTCGTAGGATATCACCAAGCCAAGGTATTCTGTGCGCGGGACCAAGGAGAGCCATTGCTCTGGCTCGCGGGGCTGAGGAGCAACCTTTTCGTAGTGGGATGTTTACGAACATACTCCTTCTTGACTCGATCCTTTAAGGTTCCCACAAGCTTGAGGATGGCCTTGCTCTTTTCCATGCTGATCTTGAGATGGAACAGCCTGAAGCATGCGAAGACTATTCTGACCTCCCCCATGGCAGTCTCAAAACCTTCGTAGGAGTCAAAGCGCAATCTGAGATGTGAGTCATCGGCGTACAAGCAGAGGTGCTGCCGAGTCCATTCGGGCCTGGTTCTGGCCTCTATGCTGACACATAGCAGAGACGTGAAGGCAGCCCACAAAATGGGTGAGGCACTGCATCCCTGCCGAAGGCCTCTTCGGGGCTTAATGGAGCCTTGCAGGTGACGATGTCGGAAGAGATAGAGGACCTGTGTCAGCCAGGTGAGCATTATCTCTTGAACCGCAATGTCAACTTGTGCGAGGTCGAGGGCCTGTTTGAGGTGGCTCCATTCGACGAGGTCGAAAGCGGCCGACAAGTCGAGGCTGATCTGCAGTCCGCCGTGGCACTTTACTTTGATCTCGCCTTCATGTTGTTGATGTATTGTGATGCGGGCCTTGGAGCAATGTTCACGGACTTCGTGACAGCGGGCGAAGACCTGTCGTAGTGCTGTACCAGTTGAACGATTCTTAACGTAGGCACATTGAGGGTATACCTGACGATGAGGTCGTGGATGGCCAGCTTGGTTTGCTTGGTTTGCTTGACGATCGTGGACATGAGGCATTTGCCTAGCGGGTCTTGTACCCCTATCGGTCTCCAATCTAGTGGGCTATTCGACCGGCCGTGTGCTTTTGGCAGCAGCGCGACATCTGCATCGGCCCAGCGCTGCAGGACAATAGGCTCTTTGCCCTGCCAGGCATTGAAGGCTTGTACAACAGGAGCAGCCACCAAGTCTGAGCAAATGCGCCAAGCAATGGCTGGAGCAGTACCCTTAGGAACGGCCTTTCGAGGATTGAGGTGCTCCAGGTGCCACTGCAATTCCTGCGGGTCGAGGAACACTCCTGAATGTGCCGGGAACTCAAAGGTGATAGGCTCCTTGCTGGGGTCTGTGGCATAGCGCTCCCCATACGCCGTGAGAATCCAATCCAGCTCTTCATCCGGGGAGATCATGTGACCATCCTTGTGGAGTTGAAGGCGCTTTTTACGTGCCTTCGGGGCGAGCTGGCGAATGATCTTCCACGTCTTGTGTACATTGCCCTGGGTGGCTGCTGCTTGGGCCTGTTGTAAAAGATCCTGTTTTCTCTGCTTGGAACGTTGTTTGGAGCGGGTTTTATGCAGTCTATGGGCTCTGCAGAACTCGGTCCATTGCCTCCAGGCATTGATAATGCCCGGCATTCCGTAGCGATGAGCGCGCAGGCTCCTGAACAGTCCCCACATGTTCCGCGCACAATTGGCCAGCTCTTCAGACTGGCTGGTCGCCTTCGTGGTCTTCTTCAATGGAAAGTGCTTCTGGGCGGCCTGCAGGAAAATGTCATTCAGATGGTCCACTTGTGCAGGAAGTTGGGCCTGGACTTCTTGTCGAAAGCCGTGCAGTGCTGTCGTCGGAGTAGGGGACCTGAGGTCTTGAATCATCTGTTCTCGGTCGATTTGAGCTATCACCGGGGCCTGGGCTGCATCTGGGCCTGGGGACAGGTATGTCCGCCAAGATCGGATAGTGCCTGGGTCCGCCTCTCCAAGCCGCGACCGGGTAGTCCACGAGAGCACTGGCCTGCTTTGATCGGGTTGTGGCATGCTGTGCTGGAACAAAGACAAAGTCAATCTGTGAGCTCGGGGCCCCTTCGTGCTCTCCCATTACAAAGGTAGCCACCTGACCGTGCGTGGGTTGCTGCCATGTGTTCAAGGCTGTCAGGTGGAGCGTTCTCCACACGTTTTGGTGATCCTGGCTGTCGACGTAGTGCAGGTCGTTGTGTCGTGTAACAACCTGTCCACATACGTGTTTGTAGGGTACACACGGACAATCGAAGTCGCCTCCCAGAACGAGGGCGTTGCGGCGAGGTAGGTGGGCCAAGCAGCTTTGCAGTTTGACCAAGAATCTCTGCCTTCGTTCGGGGGTAGCTTCATGGGCGTTCACAGCGTACTGATAGGCACTCAGGATGTCAACATGTGTGTGTGTGTGTCCATGTGGTATCCGAGCGTGGAGCAGCCGTCCCGCGTGGTGGGCTCTGTAGTAGATTTGCTCCGCCTTTGCCAGACGAGCGGAAATCAGGATCAGGATCCCAGCCATCTTATCACAAGACGTAAGGCCTGGTGAGTGCAGGCAGTGGAATTCGCGAGTAGACAGTAGACCATGTGCCCTCGAATTTCCAGCGCGTCTCTTGTACTAGCAGGATGTCCA